ATGGTTACACATTACTAATATATGTTTAATGAATTATATTACTGACTAAAATAAAGTAGTAGGGAACTATTGACTAAAAATGTACTGTATCACTATGTACAATGTGAAATAAGAAATTTCAGGTAGTGTTAGGCCTGACGACAACTGCTCATTTTGCATAGAGATCTCCTTTAGTATCTTCTCATCATAACTGTACCCTTATGAAAGGGTTTATGTGTATCGCGGTATCTGCTAACAGCGTTCAAAGCCGAAAGCCTATATAGAATAGACATTAGTTAAATTTCAATAGTTTTGGTCCAAACAGTTATATAAGAGTACTAGCAAAACCTCTGTTTCCCACAACCAGGAAAATATGCTCTCAAGGGAAATTAGAGGATGAATTTCATATTCTGAAAAGATTTCGGAAAATAACAATTACCTTTAGAAATTTATCAGCAAGCATGGTGGATATAAAAGCTCAAATACCAAGCAAATCACAATTGAAAAGAAGCCTGTCTTCACGCAACCTGACTGACTCTAAAGATGGTAACATTGTAGGAAGATTGAATACTTCCCTAGCAGGAACGTATCCTGCAACTAAGTTGGTTCCCGATTATCGGAAAGATACTCTTCTCATGTTAACTCCAACTGTGTGTGTGAAAGAATATGTACCTGAAAGCCTACGTCTCAAGGGAAAAAACACGTTCAAAAGTGCCATTGCCATACATCTTGTCGGTAAGGGTCATGTGATGGACACCATCAAAATCGCTTAGAACTATGACTGGACAAAATATTCCAATTCTCTTCAAGTCTGTCGAAGGAATCTCCATCAAACGTCTGAAATCCTGTTTACCCATTCAGAAAGAAGTGTTCATCAGTCTTTTCTTCTCCTGAATAACTGGTCGGCTTTAACCTTTCCCCCTCAGCTGTAATGTACTTTTGCTTGATTCTTATTCCTATGATTGGAGTTGAAGTCACCACATTGCTACTCAACTTGTCATCTTACTCACCGCTTGTCTTTATTATCTAACTCTTCCTTCGCACAAGCTATAAGACTGTGATTTCTGACCACTTTTTACTAGGCAAGTAGTCTCCTGACAACTAACAGCATAGAACATTCGCATGTGTTTCAAAATTCTTCCGCATATAACCCTAATAGGCTGTACAGAGCTGATAAGAAGCGGACGAGACAAGTGATGGAAGCACCTTATTGTTCACAAACCAGTTTTCTTGCCTTATTCATACTAGTTGAGAGGAATAGGTGTATGAGCGTTGAAGGTTACTTTCGATCCGTAACGAAGATGAATCGAAGTGTATGAAAATTAGCCACGTGTGAAAAATAAGGCGTAATCCTACGTAATCAAGAAAGTATACAACCATTTAATCTGGAAATAACTGATAAGGAAATAATAAAGCAAGAAAGATGAATGTCGGTCGTGAAAAAAATTTCAACGAATTTATTTTGCTACACACGTCAAGGAGCGAACAGTCAGTTTAAGGCCGTGGGATAAAAAAATAGGTGGGTTAAAATCTTTCTTGAGAAACATAAAGTTCATGTTTTCCCAATGAATGGGCAAATAATTACACTGCGTGACGAAGATGTAGGCGAAATGTTTGTTTGCCCAGCTTGATCTTACTTCATATATATAATGCTGAATAAAGTCCGATATAAGGATAAAAATTGGGCATTGTGGTGGTAGAGTACAGCTCCATTATGGATAAAAATTGTATTTTGATAAAATCACACAGTGTACGTTTCGAGCACAAACTATTGCTGCTCATAATCATATCAAGTCGTTCAGTCACACAACTTTCTTGCTTCATTTATATACCTGAGTAATAACTGATGATTAGATATTTGAATAAAATCAGTATAAGATAAAGTACATTCAGAAATAATAATATGAGTGTTATCAATCAAATACAATCAGATGGGAAATAAGACGAGTGTTTTTATAGTCAAAATAAATAAGTAACTTGTTAGAATGTTATGGTGTACGTGAAATGAAATAGAATTTTGAGATTATTTATAATCCTGCTCTGATTTGACTGACTGGTGGTAATAATATCTTCCATATCCCTGGTATTTGCATTGAGTCACTTCTATTGCGCATTTGTTGGCTGTAGACTCGATGAAACAGGATTCACTAAGTAATCAACCTCTTTCTCTTCACCTACATATATTACTTCTTAGAATTTTAACCCTTTCCCATCCACCCTATTGCGTGATTGTGTGTTAATACATGCAGTGCAATAGCTGAGCTATTTTCTAAATTACTTATCTTCTCGGAGTCAACCATTCTTACCATAGCTAAATTCTGATCTACTTCTTTGACGTATATAGTTGATGTCATTCACAGTCATTGCAGGGTATTTTGTATGATTGGGCCAACCGACAGGGTCCTTTAACCTACAGAGCTTGTCCCTGTCTGAGTGAGTTTGTAGATTTGAATGCTACCACCCTAAATCCTGCTTTATTCAGAATCCTACGAGGTGAGAGTCTCAGATGTCCCTCCTTATATGGTATAACTGTAGATGACTTATATTCTCTCCTATTTATTTTATCATTATTAGTTTCACCATTACTTTTTTTACTTTTGACCTTTTCTGATCTACCTAATGAATTTAATAGGAGAGATAGTTATTTGATACCAACCTTTCTTCTATCTGTTTTATTTCATCATTTAGGTCTTTTCTTGTACTACTTAGTGCTATTGCTCGGTTTGTTAGACAAACACTTAACTAAGCCTGCCTTCACCGACAGACAGATAACGGATGAGATGAAATAGAGTCTAAATATATATTAGCAGAATGCGTCTGTTTTTTATAAACGCCGCTAGTGTGCAGTTTACCTTCTTTTGTTCGTTTTATTTTACAATCTAACATCACAGCTAATTCTCCTTGTTCATTTTCTGATTCAAATGTGAATTTTATTCCCTCTACTAGTGAGTTTATGTGTATCAAGAAGCTAGAGATATGTTCTGTTTTTAACACTGTGTGTGAAATTGTCATCCACATATTTCCACCATATTTTTGGAGTAGGATTAAATGTTGTGTTAAGAGCAATATTTTCCCTGCTGTCCATAAATATGTCTGCTACGACAGGGGATATTGGTGATCCATCCCATTGCTACACCTTCTGTTTGCCCTGCAATTTAAAGATAGTAGATGTGAGGCATAACTGAAACCCTGAAATAATTCCCTCAATAGGCAGCTTCGTCTTATGAGTGAGTTCAGGATCTGCAGTTAGTTCTCTTTTAACTGCTTCTAAGGTTAACATATTGATTGTTATATTAGTATAAAGGCTAGTTATATCAAAACTAACCATCGTTTCATTATTCTCTAATTGAATGTTATTTAGTTTCCTTTTCATTTTATATGAATTAGTTAGCCTAGAGGAGTTTGAATGATTTGTAATGCAACATAGTATAAAAGGACCAAGTGTTTTGGCAATTCATAAATCTCCTATTGGTCTTATGGGGTGACCTGGTTTATGTATTTTTATAGTACTGTATATTCTACTAACATTATTAGTTTTTAGGCATCAAATTAAACCATTTAGACCCACCCAGTGTCAGCTGAATATAGTCCCTAACTATACTGACTGACAATTTTATCTTCTCATTTGGACATCTCTACTAGTAGGTATATGCATATTAGCCTGAAGACTAAAATACGTGCTCTATTTTGTTAAGATACCCAAAGTTATTAAAAATCAAATTCAGTGTTCTTCAGTTTGTTGGTAATTCCATATTATGATGATTACGGGTAGCTGGATTATTTTATTGAAATCACCATTTTATTGATCTAAACGAGGTAAGTCAAATGTTCAACAAGAAATCCTTCTTTTTTCCAACTGATTATTAGCTCATTAGAATTGTTTGTAAGTCAGTCTATTTTAAATTGGTTGGAGGATTTCATCATGATCTGACATTATCGGTTAGAGAACCATTGGAAGTACTGGACAGCTGTTTCCTCCGTCCTAGTTTCGAACTCTTCAACAGTACGCACCCACCGCAGGGGGGTCCGAGCCCAGAACCTTCTGGTTACAAGGCGAGCTAGCTCGTAGACCATTCATCAGCCACTGGGACCCGATCCAATCGCCCATGAATTCTAACTTCTGACAATTCATGACATAGCGCAACCACTTCACAATGTCTTCTTCGATGAGTTATTGCCTCACCTTCAACCTGCTGCATCATACTGGTTAAGGTTTCCCACTACAACCGCAGGTAACTTCACAACTGTTTCATCCTCGTTTGAGACTCTTCAACAGTACGTACCAACCGGAGTCCGAGCTCAGGAAATTCTGGTTACAAAGCCAGTTAGGTCGTAGATCATTAAGCCACCAGGACATACTTTCAAATGTCAAGTTATTAGTGATCTGACTGATTTCGAGGTGGTTTTGTTCATGAACTGAAGTCACATGACCAAACAATGCAAATCGGAAAACAATTGTTTGTGACTGCTCAATAATAAGCACAGTTGAAAACATCAAAGATCACGAATTGCTAGAGAATAAAATTTATGGGTCATTGAGCTGGGTCTGAGAGGATGGATTGTCTACGAGCTTGCCTTATAACCGGAATGTCCTAGGTTCGAACTCCAGCGGTGGGTATATACTGATGATGAGTCCCAAACTAGGACGAAACGGCTTTCAAGTACTCTATGGTTTTCAGTGGTTCTCTAACTGATATCAGTCTAAGATCAAGTTTAAATCGATTCCTGAACAGTTAATTAAGAATTTTTTTAAAAATTACAATTCAGTCTAACGTATTTCACGATGAAATACATTGATGAAAATAAGGATGAAATAAAATAGGTGTCAAATATTCAAAGGAATTCTCTATGAAAGTGTTCATCTAGCTTTTATTATTGTTTCGACTCATCATTATCGCATATCTGCCCAGTTCAATTCTCATTTGGAACTCCTTTCTTATTATTTATGTATACTTTTATGATATCACTTGCTTTACTTCCTTTTTTGTATGATATCTAACATTTTCATTTTATTTTTACAGAAATCCAGTTGTAATTCTAATAGCCCACATAGCAAAAAGCATTTTAAATCATCTAATCATTTACTTTCAATGCGATTCAATGTTCAACATTCAAATAGGAATTTTCTGCGTAATTTAAATCACTTGACTACACAGTTTAAACAAACACTTAAAGATCTTTCACAACAAGAAGATAATCATAATACTTCTTCAAAAAATAATAGTAACAATACTACTAGTAACGATAGTAATAATAATAATAGTAATATTTGGGGTTTATCACAATCAGCTAATGATCGTGGTATTTTAATAAAAGACTCCAATGGAGATTGGTGTATTGTTATCGGCAAATGGTCAGAATTTAAACGTCTTCCCGCGCCAATCTATGCAGTGAATTCAAACAACAATAATTTAACAAATGAACATTCTATAGATAATTCTAATGAAATACATGGAAATGGTGGACATTTATCTTTAAAATTTAAATGGTTTGCATCAGCATCAACACCAGCAAGAATATCTTATGCTCAGGTAAATTTTAACTTATTTTAAATTTTTTTAAAGTTGATTTATGTAGGGATTTGATTTAGTTTTTAGTGCTTGATCACGGATTGATATCAGTTAGAGAACTACTGAAAACCGGCACCGACAAAGAGTGCATAATAATAGTTATCTATCGAAGAAATAATGATATCTTTTGATGTCATAGCATCATATACCTCAATTGGACAGAAACTAGCAAAAGAGACCATGGAGCGGTTACTTAGCAACGACGAACACCTCCCACGACAATCAGAAATGCAACACACAAGTTGTATGAAATGCATAAACCTATGCCTGACAACAAACTTCCAGTTCAACGGCCAAATATATGAACAAGTCAAAGGAACACCCATGAGATCGTCAATATCAGGTTTGATTGCTGAAGCAGTGATACAAAGACTCGAAAACCCAAAATTTGGATACGTTACATAAACGACACATTTGTAATAATCAAAAGAAACGAGTTGGATAAAACTCACAACTTAATAAACAACGACTTCAACGACATCAAATTCACAAGAGAAAAGGAATCCGAGAACAAAATCTCATTTTTGGATGTCTTAACCAATCGAACAACCACAGGGGAATAAGAAACTTAAGTAAATAGAAAATCAACTCACACAAACCAAATACTGAATTACAACAGCAAGAATCCAATAACACACACAAAAGGAATTATATACAAACACTGTTCAACAGGGCCAGCCAGGATTCATTGCAGCACTCCCACCTACTTCAAGGAAAATTGGAGAAAGATATCTCATGGATATCTTCCAAAAGAATGGATATCCACGGAATTTTATCAAAAGACGTATACCCCACGCGGCCAACCTACCCAATCTAAGGCCCCCAAGGAAAGCACAAAGAAAATCGCCCTACAATATATAAAGGACATCTCAGAAATCACTGCAAGACTCTTCAAACACCTTTAGGAATTGACATCGCACACAAACCAACAAAATCATTTTACTCAGTTCTATGTCAACGAAAAGACGCAACACCGAAAGAAGATAAAACCAACATCATCTACAAAATAAATTGTAACAACTGCGAAAAACACTACAATGGCCAACGTGGACGTCCCCTTCGTCTTCGTATCGACGAACATAAGCTAGCCGTCAAAAGACATGACATCCACTCCCTCATATCACCAAATACAGACAACCACGGACATCAATTCAACTGGGACAACGTTCAAATATTAGACAGAGGAAACAACAAGCATGCTAGTCAGAGAATTTTTAGAAGCCTGGTCTTCCAGTAAATCGTCAATCAACAGACACATCGAGATGGACAAAATTCACCAACCGATAAGGAGGAAATCTCACACACAAAGGGTCAAACTTCAAGTCAAGGAAACAAATCGTAGTACATTTGCTGTCCTTTGTCTATTTAATATTTTGAAGGACTTAGAAATCTCTACGAGATGTTCAATATCAACAATATGTCTGGGAATTTCACTCTGAGAATATTTACTTCCTTTCAGACACAGGTCTCTTGGAATATGCTCTGAAAACCAGATAGAAGCCCTTCTTTCCGTCCTTCCAATGTACTTGCTCCCACAAGTGCACGTAAATTCATACACGCAGTTGGAGGTGACGTCGGCAGGGTATTTATCCAGTTCCGAGTGGCTCTATGAGTTTAGCTGCAGGGAAGCTCCTACATACAATTGGGCGTTTTTCTTTCTCATCTTTTTCTCTGCTATACTTCTGTATAAATCCCTTAGGGTATCCATTTTCTCTTAGGCATTTCTCAACGAAACCTGATTCCTCTTCGACCTTGCTGGGTGAACATAACTTCCTGTCTCTGTCGTACCAAGTCCACGTTTATAGCTTATCAGACAAATGATGTTATAGTGAAGATATTGTCCAGTCCAGGTTTCTTTTCTATAGATGGATTTTTCAATCATGCCTTCGTTTGTTCTTTTTACATTTAGATCCAGGAAATTGAACTCATTTTTATGTTCATATTCCATGGTGAACTTGATATTTGGATGAATCTCATTTAGGCGATCATAAATGCCGATGCGTGATCCATGTCGTTGCAAACAACAAATGTGTCATCAACATATTGGCTATAGTAGGTTGTTCCGTTGATAGCAGAACTCGGTTGTGTCTGTTCAAGGTAGCCCATGAAGATAACTCAATTTTTACTTTTTGTTTTTGTCTCTCATTGTTTTCTTTTTTTTTAAAGATACCGGACAATACAAACAGTTTTACTGTGATTCTACACGATGCTTCAGTTAACATGCAAACTGGGGAATTGTTTATTAGTAAAAGCTGTAATGAAATTGCACAGAATGTTTGTTTAGCCTTTTGTTGTGGAATTTTACATGTAAGTGAAACAGCTGTTTCGATGAAAAGATTGCTGTTGGTAATTTATTACATAATATTTAATACATATATATATATATGCAGAAGCCTTTTTTCCATAAATATTGTAACAACAGAAAGCAAGACACGGAAGCCAAAGTATATATTTCTCTCAAATCAAACCGCTGTTTATACACCTACAGTTTAAATCCGTTAACGAATCACTCAGCGTGCGATAACAAGAGATATAATGTTCAAATATACATGTAGTATTCTGTTACCGATGCAGTACTGAACTGTGGAAACATGCGAGAATAACATTCCGTTCCGTTCCATTCCATTGTCTGTATCACACCACTACACTCGTCTCCGCGTCAAAAGCTTTCGACAGAAGTCGGTTGGATCTTCTTGGTGCTACCGGCTTTGTTAGCTTATCTTGCTGTATCGAGTTCCGGAGCTCGCTGACATTCACCTGCTCCTTTACATACGTGACCCCGTCTCACGGTGACCATGTATGGTCCTTCTAACTTTGGAAGCAGGTTGCATGACCCTAGCTCGTATTCACCGGTGTTTCGCCTCATGCTGTCATATGCTGCCATCGTCCGACCTCTCAGCAGCATTCGAAGTAACAGCCACATCGATGACGGATCTTGAACGCCACTCAAGTGAACAACAGCCTAGAAGTCCTGCACGAAGATCCATATGTCTCCATCAAAAACTGTAGGGCATAGACTTTCCATTTGTTGGCAGGCAGGGACACCAGAAGCTAAGGTGCATTTTTCATTATTCATACCGCCATTTATATACCTACAGTTTATATTCGTTTACCAATCACTGAGCGTGTGATAACAAGAAAGAGAATGTTCAAATATACATATAGTGTTCTGTTGCCAATGCACTACTGAACTGTGGAAACATGTGAGATTAGTATCCCGTTGGCATACATTGTCTGTATCACTCCACCACAATATCTTTACACTCTGCAGTAGGAAAACTAATATATACATATTCATACGCTAACATTAGTTCGGGGACTGGTGGACAGCAGCTGTCTCGTCCTAGTTTTAGACTCTTCGATAGAGCGCAACCATGTTCCCACCCAGGACAGAATTGATTTTGGCTCGCGACGAAGTCAACCTTGTTATCATTTATATATTACTGGCTAAATCCAAAATATCAACATAATGGATAGCTCCAAAGAGAAGTTATGCAAAGCAGGTTATTGTAACCCTCATAACATAACCTGGTAGCCTTCACAGCATACAGACTACTGTTGAAAGGAATCCAATGAAGTCATGAAGTCTCTACTTTAGAGATTACTACGAAATCAGATAATTCGGATATCACTGTTATAGGGTATACTTAAAAGTGCACATTAAAAAAGGTGCATTTTTGGCTGGAACCTGTTCGAAATATTTCACTGAGATATTTTATGCAAGTCTTCAAGATGCTACATATACCAACATTGAAGCCTTCTAGGGTTTTCACCAGACCTGCCTATTATCCGACTCGCATCAGTGGACGAATTTTGTAAGTGAGAAGTTTAAAAACGATAGTTTGTGTGGAAATAGTCACGTCTCCCTTTTGTTCTGTTCTCTGCTGTCCTCTTTAGCTGCGTGCACGACTGCCCATAGTCTCTCATCTCCGCCTCCTCTCAAGATCTCCTCGATGTCACCCCAATACTACTACTACTAATTCTGCTATTACTAGACCTATTTTCCGCGTCAACTATGCCGGTGGACCGACCATAATTTCCTCGGTTATTCTAGACTTTTTCCGAAATGGATGAATTCATTTAATGCACGAAAACTGAATAATCTGATTTTAACACACTCCCCCCGACGCCGCAGCCGGACCACCCCTTATAGAGACATAGTAGAAGGCGGTCACTTGTAAAATGTCTGAAGTGATAAGGATTACTGAAAAAGTTTGAAATAAGAAAGGCCGTACAATTAGGCGTGTTTCTCATGAGATTTCCAAACATCATCCTGCATAATGGTCGGTTAAGTAAAGGACAAACAAAATCTATTCGTAGTGCTATTCTATCTCATCTTGTAGATACAGAACACAAGAATAATGTCAACGAGGTAGCTTTCAAAGTCATCTCTACCGCATACCAACAAATCTCAACTTCTCCTTAAGATTTCGCTTACTAAATATTACTGAGGCTGGTTGTTGGGTTCTACATTAAGAAGCCTATTTTATGTGTCCAAAATAAGCCAGTTCAGACACTGACCTTACCCCACTGGCCATCTAAGTTTGAATCATCCTCAATTTTTGTGGAATTTTCCCTAATTTTAGTTGATATTCTCTTTGCTATTATATTTGTATGCTTATTATAATTTAAGCATCTTTAATGAACTGTGATTCTATTGATCTTACTTAGCAAATCGATATTATTTAAAAAACGCTAATATTGTTATTGATTACTATTCTAGAATATTCTACGTATATATATGTACAATATATATAATTGTAGAGCGGGAAGAGGAAATTCTCGAAAAGGGGATATTCTTTGATCAATTACTTTGTGTTTTATAGATATCTGAATGAATATTTCCGCTGTAAAATACTGTAGATTAAGGAATCCAAAATCAGAAATGTTGTAAAAGAAGTTTGTGTACAAACAGATCACGGTAGGTGAGTTTACGATGAATACAAGCCAGTAGAATCAATTCATTCGATATTGTACAAACTGAAAGATCCATCCAACAGAAAAAGAAGATAAAATTAATACCATTTACAAAATAAATTGCATGAGCGAACATGAATGAGCATTACATCTGTGGTCAAAGTGGACGTCCCCTTCGAATCAGATTCCAAGAACACAAATTAGCTGTGAAAAGACACGATATGTATTCATTTGTATCAATGCATGTAGATAATTATGGACACCAATTTGATTGGGGTTTCTAAAAAGAGGAAACACCAAAAATACTTTCAGGGAATTCCTAGAAGTCTGGTACTCAAGTGAATCAGCCAGCGATTAACAAATTTACAACCAGCTAATAAAAAAGTAACTCACATAGTGGTGAGAGCTGTCTGCTAGCCAAATTGGTAGACAGTGTAATTTATGTCAATGTTTACGTCCCCAATATTGGTCGTGAGAAAAATAAGAACAAATACTGATTCAACAACCAATCACAGCAGACTTTGCGTAGGCGGATACAATTTGCAGACAGATAATCTGAACTTCAATAAACGGCCACAAAACGATGAAAGATTAACGTTCAACGAGAAACCACCAATCAGAAGACCGTGTTTGTTCGCTTACAATAATCTATAATAATGTACATGAAAATCTACAAATATCTGTTGATTTCCTAAATAAACGATCTGTTGCCTGGCCATCGTCTTCTGTTGTTACAACATGACAAAAAAGTTCAAATTCCATGTCAATAAAAATGTGATCAACAGAGACATAAATTAACAACCAGTTACGACAGTTGTCGCCAGGAGATACAGTTACATCATTTATGGAGAATTTAAATGAGTTCATTTTATACTAAAACCTGTGGGCGCTGAAGTGCAGCAAGGAATGCTCTTAGAATCGCTTTCAAGAGATGGCTTCAGAGAAGTTCACTAATTGTATCACCTTTGAATTTCAGATACACAGTTAATTGTTTCTTTGGAACATTCTGGTTTTGCAATGTATCCATCTTTCTCTTTAAGTGAATATCCAGCTGATAACCGCCAAATAAGATGAAGTGTGTGACTCCTGGATCTCGCCGTTAGCCAACACCAACAAAACAGTATCAGTTATAAAATCATTAAGAAACCTGGAAACACTGAACAGTCGTTCCGTCCGGACTTCGGACTTTCCAGTAGTACGCAACCATCAGGGTCCGAATCCAGGACTCTTGCGCCGCCAGGAGAGCACGCTGACTACTCAGCTAATGTATCCCGACCCAAATGCTTCATAAATTCCAACTTCTACCAATTCGTGATATATATATTTAGCTCAACAGACAGCCAGTTTCACAGGCGAGTATCTGTCCTCTTTTAGACATACTTCTGAGTCGAAGAGACGATGTCTCAATAAGACGGTCTATCTACAGAAATCCTACTTGGACAGGGTAATACCTTAATTTTCACAGCTTCTGTCCATTACAGTATAAGAGAGGCTTGGTGAAGTGTCTATTTAAGACGATTCAGCGTATTTGCACGGCTGATGGTATTGCATTATTTTCTACCCCCAACCTCTATTAAATCTCTACCCTCATGACGATTGTTGCTAACTCCATTTTCGTTTATTTTTAAGTGAATTCTACTCAGCTTATCAACTTAACTCTCATTCATTTTCAAGTGAATTCTACTCAGATTATTAACTTGACTCTCATTCATTTTTCATTGAACCCTATCAATTAGATTACGTCACCCAACCTACTTTTGTAACTTTATTTTAGTTTCTAACCTATTAACGCCTTCTAAATTGCGTAATTTGTTGTCAAAAATTAACAATTGCATTAACACATCTTTGGAAATATTCCTTTAGTTGCCAAGAAAAATTACTATAAATTTGCGGTTTGTACAGCTTGAGAATGATATCGCCGAAAAGAGTAACTCTTTGCTGAACGACTTTTCTTTTCTATGACTGAATGGGAATTTTCAAATTATTCTTAATTCTTTTTTTGTCACTTTGTTTAATTTAACTTTTCTATATATATTGACTTGACAAGTAAATGTGTGAGGGATCAGATCGTTCGAAATGTACAGCGCAAATACATCACATACCTTTTCAGATAATCTCCATCACCTAATAATGCTATCAAAATTTATAAAAGGGACTGACTGTTTTAAAATCTGTCCTCTTGCCTAACTTGGTGGACCTCGCTGGTTACAACTTCTCAATACAACCCCAAGTAACTTCCTGTATAGAACCAGTCGCTAGTGAACATTAGATCAATTATTAAGTGTTGATTTGCAGGGATCTGATTGGTTACAAAAATGCTCACCAGCTGATATCAGTTAAAGAACCAATGGGAAATCTGGAGTACCAGTGTCAGCTCGTAACAAATCCTGTAACCCATCAAATCCCTGCCAATGAACACTTGACAACCAAAAAATATATTGAATTAGAATTTCATTGGTGGATAGTGGTGACTAGCAGTGGAATCTAGGATAACGCGGATTTCGTCCCATTTGGGACTCGTCATCTGGATGTATATTTATTATTTTTAAGACCATATTTACAGTTTCTCCTTTTTAAATAATAAAATTATCATTCGTTTGATTTATGCTTCTCCTTCAATATTAGTTAGTTTATTAGATATATCACACAGTGATGAAACAATATTATTCACTGGATGACAACGCCTTTCGAACAAAATTTATTGTTCATAATCATTTCATCAATTATAATCACATGACTTCGAAACTTGAGTTCTATAGTTTACTTTGTTCTCTCGTATTTGTCGTATGGGTAGTAGAATTTTCCAGATATCTGGGTGGACAGGTGTTGAATCATTCCTATTACACGTGTTGGTTTGCAGTTGATCCGATAAACACAGCTTCTGTTATCAATCTCTCCCTATACCTTGTGATATTAGATTTTAAAACTTTCATTCGGCTAGTCTGACTGCCCCTGTTATACTAGTTTGACCTGACAATCATTGCAGGGTATTAGATAAACTAAATTGTTTTGTTTTAGAGGCTCTTCAGGATTGATCCTTTACCCGACAAAGCTTGTTTCTAAATGAGTTTGTGGGCTTGAATGCCATTTTTATTCCTGATAATAATAATAATAGTGATAATAATAATATTAATATTATATTTTAATATTAATAGTAATATTAATGACGACATGCATGTCAAACATGCGCAAGATAATGACAACGCCAACAATAAGGAATCTAAATCATCATCCATACAAGGTAACCTTACGCAGGATTCCTAAGAAGGCAGGAATAAAAGTGGCTGACACTCAAACCACCCACAAACTCAATTAGAAACAAGCTTTGTCGGCTAAAGGATCAATCCTGTAGAGCCTTTAAAACAAAACAATTTAGTTTGTGTGATACCCTGTCTACGCTTATTGTTAGGTCTGATACACAGGTCAAAGTAGTAGAACAGTGGCAGTCAGACTAGCTGAACATAAAAACCTAGCAGCGAAATCTAGATTAGTTGACTCGAATAAGATAAGAAATCTAGAGAATAGTTCAGCTGTAGCACTACATGCAGTTACACACAATAGGATAGGATAGGATGATAGTCTCAAAATCTAATGTCACAGGGTATAGGGAGAGACTGATAACAGAAGCTTTATTTATCGAATCAACTGAGGAGAATACGTGTATTAGGAATGATACATCACCTGTCCATCCAGGTATCTGTAAAATTCTACAACCCCCACGACAAATAGGAGAGAACAAAGTAAACTATAGAACTCAAGTTTCGAAGTCATGTGATTATAATTGATGAAATGATTATGAACAATAAATTGTGTTCGAAACTATGTCATCCAGTAACATGGAGTTACTTACTACCACAGTGCTCAAGTTTTACACATATATTAATATGCTTCTCTTTATTTTCAGGTATTATGCCAACCACGTATCTTAACGCATGAATCAAAAGTGAACTCCTATCAAAATTACAGTGAGTGTGATCAGAGTTCATTTCCTGTAAGAGATAAAAAAATTAACACTCATGAAGATGTACTACTGACTAACTTTCAAGCATCAACTAAACAATCTACTAAAGACACCAATTTATCAACATCATTATTATCAACTAATTCTATGACCAATGAAACATCAAACACCTGCATGAACGGTATTCAAATGAAGCATTCTCAATCTGTTGTAGTAATAAAGAAGACTATAAAAAAATTAGTTTGGAATCTACGTGATTATGATTTGAGAAAAACATTTAAAAAACCTAAAGAAGTAAATAATGAATGGAAGAGACAAATGGAAGAGTTGTTCTTCACTGGTGTCGATGTTAGTGACACTTCCGATGGAGGTGTTAACGACAACAGTAGCTATAGTCGTCGTAGTAGGAGTAGACAGGGTGGCGGTGATGGTGAAGGCAGTAATAGGAGCGTTGGAAATCGAGGTAGTAGCGGCTGTGCGAGTGTCAGTGACGTCAATAGTGATGATAGGCATAGTAAGGGTAATAGCAGTAAAAAAGGGAGTGGCGGCAATAATCTCAGGGATGGCAGTGGTATGGGTTTTAGGAGTGACAGCGGCACTGGTGAAACTCAAGATGAGCATTTCAATAAGAATGATGATCGGAGTGAATTGATGAATGAAGTAAAAGTCTACGGTTATGCTGTCTGTCAATTTCAAAGTCAACAGTATGAAGTTTATAGTGAGCCAATGAAATCTGAACAAAAATTGTATGACAAGTAAGTGGCGTTTCTTTTTCATTGAATATATTTCATTTATCATTTAGCTATTGAGTTTAACTGATTAAAAATGGCAATGGGCTCTCCATTGGGTCCCATTCTGGCTGATTTCTTTCTAAGTAAGCTAGAAAATGGACCTCTGAACAACCTTATCAGTAAGCTCTCATTTTATTGCCGATATATATTGATGATACCTTTATTCTTTGTGATAATGGTTCCGATAGGAGTACAATAATTACTGAATTAAATGAAGTACATTCGGTTATGAAATTCACATGCAAAGAGGAATCCCAAGGCAGAATTGCCTTCCTTCCTGGTTGTCCTACTTACAATAAAACCAGACGGTAGCATAAAAAGAAATTTAAATATAGAAAAAGTACTTGGACGGGACAATATACACACTTTCACAGCTTCGTTCCCATCAAATACAAAAGGAATTTGGTGAAGACCCTCAGCCACAGAGTTAGAGCTATATGCTCTGAAGAAGTAATTAAAGATGAATTAAGCATGGTATATGATACTTTAATCGAAAATGGTTATCCTGACAAATTTATCAAGAAACACATGACAAAGAAGGCGGAAAAGGACTACTAACTATCTGTAAACAAGAAGCCACTTTTTATACGACTACAATTCAAGAGCGATATACCAAGTGAAATAATTACGAAGAAATTAAGAAAATCACTTCAAAGAACTTTTAATGCTGGCGAACTACACGTATTATTCTCTACACGACCGATGACGATTCCTCGACTGAAAGATGAAGTACCTAGACTAGCCACTTCAAATTGTATTTATCAATTCAACTGCTCTTGTGGAGCGAGTTGTGTTGGCCGTTGCTCTGGGAACTTGATTCTTCGTGCTTCCTCGAGAACATCTCCCACTATGGCTAAGTAAAGGTGTAGTTAAAACTATTAACAGCTCGATATTAGACCATCTGGTGAAAACCGGTCACAAAGCCAGCGTAGAAGAATCCTTCTCTATAGTATACCGGGTGCCTAACAAACTACCAAAGTCGTCGAAACACCGCATGCTCCAAACAGCAGAGGCTATTGCAATTTGCCTCAAATAACCAGTGCTCTGTGTCCAAAAGAAACAAGTCCAGCCCCTTCTATTACTCTGGCCCTCAGTAGAGGCTATACACTCATGAATTTGTACCATTACCTTTCCTAATTCTTCTGACATTCAGTTTATTTTATGTTGATGCTGTTCAGCTGTAATTTATCAATATTATTGATTTGATGTTATTTAAACAACATTAATGTCATCCATAAGACTAATTCATTCATTCATTATAATGTATATATAATTGTAAAACCTGATGATGAAGGGGTTATCGAAAAGAGCACTCTTTGTTCCGTGTCTATTCTATTGAGTTTAGTTTCAATAAGAAATCAGAAGGAACAGAGTTTATTTCAAAGTGGAATAACCAGTTGATTTATGTGTGAGACATGTAATGATTGGTCTTTTCGTTCTAACTGTCATATAGCTGTTGAATGAGGTTGACAAATACTTGAGGTACACCGTAGTGTTGAAGTAGCTTACGGATTACTTCTTGATCTACGCTGTCTCGTGAAGGCCTTTTCGAAGTCGATGAAGTTTTAATTGGAGGTTTGACTGCCGTTCAATGCTTTGTTGTGTGATGACAATGCGTAGAATTGCAATTTGATTAGCACATGATTCGCCTTTTCTGAATCCAGCTTGTTCTGGCGGGAGGAGTTCTGTATCCAGTGCATTCTTTATTGTCTCCAGGATGATGCAACTTAGTACTTTACTTGGTGTGGACAAGAGCATGATTCCACGCCAGTTCTTGCTCAGGCCTTATCAGGTCGCCCTTCTTTGGCAGTTTGACGAGGTAGCCCTTCTTCCAATCAGTAGGCACCTTTCCTTCTTCCCAATATTTTGCAGTGATGCACTGAGAACATCTGCCACAGTTTCTGGGTGCATTTTCAGTGCTTCGGGAGGAATGCCGTCTGTTTCTGCTGCCTTCCGGACTTCAGTAGCTTGATCGTGTTCAAAATTTCTTCTTTCGTTGGAGGACTGGTGTCCACTAGTAGTTCTGTGCGTGATGTTGGTGTATTTCTGGGAGAGTTGTAGGTGATGATCGATTCAAGAGTCCTTTCAAGTGATCAGCCCAATGTTTGACCTCTTTCTCCTCCTTGATAATCGGGTTGCCTTGAGCATCTTTCATTGGTTTCATAATCTGGCTTGATCACTTCCCGGAGAGAGACCTGATTATCTGAGGTCTCTTTTGCCTGCGGCCTGTTCTGCTTCAGTTGCCAGCCAGTGTGTCCTAGAATTGCCATTTTTCCTATCTAGCACTCTTCTTTACTTCTTTATTCAGTGGACTTAGCTTCTCCTTCTCTTGTCCATCTTTGCATTGAGTCATCTTTTATCTCACTATCCTCCTCTCCTCGCTTCTATTAGCTTTCAGGTATCCGTTGTGAGCCATTCCTTGTCTTGCCTCTCCCTTCTTCCTAGAACAGTTGTACACGTTTCCTTGAACATCCCCCTCAGAGAGTTCTAGGTTCTTCCACACAGGTTTCCTCAATGATGCCACATGGTGTGACCCACTTTGCTCTGATATCTGTAGTGAAGGTATCCCTTGTAGTTTTGTCCTTAAGTTTCTGAATGTTGAACTCAAATTACAGTGGTCTGTCTCAAGTTGTTTTCGTGGATTTCAGCTTCTCTTTGAAGGTTCCTTGAACTAGATGATGGTTTGATCCTATATCTGCTCCACTTCTCGACTTTGTATCCAGCAGACTAGCTGCATCTCCACTTCCTTGAGCAACATTGAGATGAAATCTGTTTGGTTTGTCGTATGTCCATCAGGCGAAATCCACGTTGCTTTGTGTATATCCTTGTGTTTGTACACGCTCCCTCCGATCACCAGATCATTGAGAGCACAGATGTCTGCGAATAATTCTCCGTTCTCATTCATTTCTCCGAGCCAGAACCTCTCGACCCATGATCAGTTCTGTTCTTGTATTACCAGGTCCCAGTGTGGCATTCATGCCATCCATGACAATTTTGATGTCACGATTTGGGATGTTGTCGATTACTGTTTGTAGTTGTCTGTAAAAATCCTCCTTCTTTTCTTGTTCCGCATTGTTTATAGCACTGTGTGTAGCACTGGATAATTGTTACCTTCATTCCTCCCTTTTGAGTTGAATCTTGTTGTCGTGGTCCTGGATGAAATTGGTTCCCACTGCAATATGGCTTTGGCTGCTACTGGTGACATCATTATATACATTCACTGCCTCAGCGTGTTCGTGGTTGTCGTCTGGGTGATCGGAGTAGACAATTGACTCTCCCCTTGACAATGTTGGCAATCCAACTCCATTCCATCTGCTTTCACAGATACCCACTACTTCTAAGCCATATCTTCGCATCTTTTTGGCTACCTGGGCAGCCTGTCCAGTCTCATCCAGTGTACGGATATTCCACTTACCCATTCTTTACCTTGCTTTCATCGAGAGAAGACACACCGGCTGACTGGCTTCCCGAAGGCTTTCATCAGCCTCCGATTCCAACAGAGAATTAGACTGTTGTTATTTGAAGTTTTTGTATTTTTAACATATTTTCTGTGTGTTGAGGCTTCTCTAGCGATTCGAAAGATTTAGAGGTGTGGCGCTAGCAGCCCCAGTCTTTGGACCGGCTAGAAAAATAGCGCGCTAGTTAACTAAGCGAGGTTGTGATGCATAGTACGCCACCCTTAATTCAAACTTTACCGGAACTTTCTTGCAGTTGACCAAATGAGATTCAACCCTATAATATATCAGTTAATAGTAGACCAATAAAGTCAATAAATCAAAAACGTACTGCCAGTAAGAACTTCTATAATCTTATTAATAATTTTAAATTTTATTTCCCTAATAGATATGATAATCAAAACAATGGATATTCATTTCAAAATTCAACATTTTCAACAATCAATGAAAAAGAAACCAGAAATCATTTAAACATGGCACTGACATTTACAATGTGTAGAGCTTGTGGACTACCAATTGACAGTTTAATACCAAGTGTACAATATATTAGATATTTAATACGTAATTCTATTCAATTTAAATATGTACATAAATCGCCAGTTGATTTAAACAATTCAAACAATGTTCAATCATTCAATGATCAATGTATGTATAATGATGAGGCAGATGCGTCAAATTTAAAAATTTTTAATCCGGATATAATCAATGTATATCGATGTAAAAGTGAGAAACAACAGTCAGTGAATAATTCAAACAGTTTAAAATTATCAGATGATGAAATTACTTCGTTTAAAAGGATAAATAAACAGCTTAATGGACAGCATGGTAGTGTTGAGAGGGAAGAAACCAGTGAAGGAAATAATGGCGGAATAAACTACAGGGAATTGTTAAATTCAAACAATTGTACAAAGTCCAATGACATTGTGAATAAATCAAACAAGAATGATAATAACAGTAATAATTCACAAACATGTAAAGAATATAAATGGCGATTAAGTGATTTTTATGATTATTTCATATTGGAGCTACCAGATATCTGTTCTGGTTGTATTCCTGGCTGTAGATATTGTAATGGTCTAGATATATTCTAGGTAATATATACTTGTTATGAATACTACATTTTTGCATATGAAGTCTTTTTTGAGTAACCGTTGTTATATCGTGGTAGACAACATAATCAGAGAAGATTCCCAAAAATCACTGTCGTCCTTCATTATAATGAAGGTTTCTTTTTGTATTTCCCAGTGAATGAATGAAAAACAAAACGGTGTTGTTGTCCCATATTAGTTTGTTTATTAGGTATATCACACAGTGGAGAGACAGTATTATTTACTGGATGACAAAGTTTCGAACACAATTTATTGTTCATAATCATTTCATCAATTATAATCACATGATTTCGAAAATTGAGTTCTATAGTTTACTTTGTTCTCTCCTATTTGTCGTGGGGGTAGCAGAATTTTCCAGATATCCTACTTAACAGGTGTTGAACCATTCCTATTGCATGTATTCTCTTCAGTTGATTCGATAAACAAAGCTTCTGTTATCAATCTCTCCATATACCTTGTGATACTAGATTTTAAGACTGTCATCCTATCCCATCTAGCCTATTGTATGGTTGTGTGTACCTGCATGTAGTGTTATAGCTGAACTATTCTCTAGATTTCTTATCTTATTCTGGTCAACCAGTCTAGATTTTGCCAAGTTTTAATGTTCGGCTAGTGTGACTGCCCCTGTTCTACTAGTTTGACCTATGTATTTGACCTGACATTCATTGCAGGGTATTAGATAAACTGAATTGTGTTGTTTTAAAGGCTCTACAGGATCCTTTACCCGACAAAGCTTGTTTCTAATTGAGTTTGTGGGTGTGAATGCCATTTTTATTGTTGCTGTCGTTTTTACTGACGTTTCGCTATTCACTATTGCTGCTGCTGATAGCTTTATCAAAGTAGTAGTATTATTTAACCAGAATTTACAAAATCCACTCAGCTTGCATTATATAACAACCTAATCATCGTTCATCAGCATGGGGTAATTTTTCGTTGTCAAATTGCCCAATTGGTAAAGATAACAAAACCAGGTAGGTGTAGATTGTTGAATTTGATGAGTGTGTAAAACTATACAAAAGCAGCCTGTATTTACATAATGAAATTGCTTATCACATTCGTGTTGGGTGTTCTAACCAGGTCAAATGCTGTTTTAGTCCATCATTCCTATTCAGCTCAGACAATTTGGATTCCACTTGATATGAAGTGCTTCCGATAATATTAGACGTTCTTTGTGATTTCTTTTGGATGATTTTTTCAATATTGTCAAAATCAATTCTGTGGCCTGATTCTTCAGCGTTGTGTGTAGACGAGCTATGGCTGATGATTTCTTTTCGAGCTTTTCTAGTTCACTGACTGGATTTCTCACTGGTCGAACAGACACTCACTCTACGATGTTCATTTCTTCTGATTACTTTGATTTCTTTATGGTGAGGTTTGTCCGATGTATATCGCATGGAATCACATTGCAAGCATTTTATTTTGTAGACAGAATTAGATAGAGAATCCTTAGGGATTCGGTCTTTTATATGAACAAGGTTGTTTCGCAGTATGTCTGATGATTTGAAGACAACTTCGATTTCCAGCTTATTGATTACTCTTCTGATATCGTCTGACGTCTCCGCTCTATATGGAATGACAACTGTTGGGATCCATGTTTTGGGAATACGTTTTCGACGATACTTAATGTTAGCGCTGATTTTGTTGATGAAGTTCTTTGGGTAGTTGTTTTGCATGAGAGTTTCAGTAATGTTTGATATTTCTTCTTCTGTTTCCTTCTAACCTATTATTAGAGGGTGTGCTCGTCTAAGGAGACTTGAAACAAATGATACCTTTGCGTTGATGGGGTGTGATGATCCGAAGACTAAACCGGATTACTTTATCGAAGCATAAATGTAACTTCTATAATCACTGTAATCCTTGTTTATGAAATAATCCAAAGTATCAAACTTGTCCCCTTCAGAATTACATAGTTCCAGGTAGGAATTCACCATATTCTCCTTCGAAAACACGAAGTATTCAGACCATAAGATACAACCTGCTTGATACGATTATATGGAGTCAATAAAGAAGGCGAGAAAACATGATTTCATTGCCAGTTTCCCCCCCCCCCTGCCCTAGTAGCTGGAAGGAATTCGCGTGGTATGAAGTGATTCCGTTCCGTGAGGTAATTACATTCGAGTACACCACGTGCGAACACAGCATCACTCATCCACCCACCCACCTCCAGGGATTAGGTCTCTTCCATTTGGTTATTAAGTCAGAGTTAATTCTCAGTTACACACAAATAATTTTCAAACTCGAAAGCATTGTTGACATTTCACTGATGCATATACACACAAAACGAAGGCGCTGCATTATTAATATTGTTTCCTTTAATTCCTAGAGGAACATAGGGCTTCAGTCGTGCGTCTCCATTGCGTTCACTTCTCTGCTAGAGTTTTCACCTGGCTCCAAGTCTGCCCACATGCTTTCATCTCCTCTTCACATGACCTCCTCCAAGTCACCCTTACACTGACGACCAACTCGCTGCTTCCCTTTCGGGTTCCACTCGAGCGATAGCCTGGCGTGTGATGTCACTTGATGGTTTCCTCAGAGTATGACCAGCCAATCCATCTCCATTTCTTCCTTCCTATTTGTTTCACAATCGGTTCCTGGTTTGTTCGCTCATTGCCAGAGATCTCTGTTGCTGATCTTTTCTGACCGGCCATCTGATCTTGAGTCTTGAGCGAAGACAACTGTCAATGAAGGTCTGTGGTTTGTTTGAGATGCTTTTTATGACGCTCCAAGTCTCTGATCCGTTAGTAAGTAGCGCTAACTTCACATTGGAGTTGAAAATCCGGATCTTATTTTTGATGCTAAGTGCTGTTGACCTCCACACAGACTTGAGAGTAGTGAAAGCTTGACTTGCTTTTCCGATTCTTGCTTTGATATCCTCGTCAGTTCCACCTGCATAGATGATTAATATTCAGTGGCATAATTCAGTCTGTCAGTCAGTGAACAGGAAGCTGTGCACCTAAGTTTCGTGCTTATTGACACTCGTCATTACGGCGTGTTGATAACCTCAGAATTGATATCCTCTTGGAGTTTTCAACCGGCGTCGAACAGTAGTGAAATTAAAGACAGTATTGCTGAGTTATTTTGATCAGCAATTGATACAGTAAACGACTTTAATGGATACATTGATTATTTCATGAAAACTACTCATCCAGACATGGAAATAAGAACTAAGAGTTCAGTGAAGAGACTCTTTTATTTATTTTTTGGCGAATTCATTCACTTAGCTGTACAATAACACACTGATATATAATTATTTTTGTTTCAATGAAAAAAAGGAAGACGAAATTTGCAGTATAAAATGTGACATCATCAATCTATTTCGCAGGTTTTCATCAGCTGCATACCCCCACCTGAAATTACAATGGTTGTATAGATTGATAATAACATACTTTAGTGTTTCAGTGGTAGTAGAGAAGAAATAATATAAAATTGACGCATGTAAGCAAAATGTAAGCGTTACAATTTATTTAGTTTAAGTTTTCATCATCAATTTGTACGCTTTCAGAGTAGAAGAGAAGCAGGAGGGGTCAGACAGAAAACAGAAAAAAATAATTAGCAAAACAGTGTTAGCTTGTAGCTTGTTCACATAGAAACTCAAAAAACAAAAGCGGTTACAGTTTATAAGATTGAGATTTGTTCAGTGAGTTGAGATCACTGAATTACATGACTAACTAATGTAATCAAAGTCAAAATTCAGTTACCAAGGGAGCGAGAGGTTAATCACACTCTATTTCTGTATGCATAAATCTGGTTGGTTTGAATCGTTTGATTGCAATCGCTTTGGCAAATCGTAGTAACTTTGCTGTCCGTTGTTTATTTAATATTTTGAAGGACTTAGAAATCTCTACGAGATGTCCGATATCAACAATATGTCTGGTAATTGCACTCTGAGAATATTTGCTTCCTTTCAGGCACAGGTTTCTTGGAATATGTTCAGAAAACCCGATAGAAGCCCTTCTTTCCGTCCTTCTAATGTAATTGCTGCCGCGAGTGCACATAAATTCATGAACGCAGTTGGAGGTGACATCAGCAGGGTATTTATCCAGTTTTGACTGGCTTATAGAAGAAGTGGTGCTGTTATGAGTTTAGCTGCAAGGAAGCTTCTTTTTATTGCACCTTTCAGTGTTTTGTCAATCTTTTGTGACACTGTATCTCCTTTGAATGGGAGGGAGACAAATAAACACTTTCTTCTTTTCTACATACAATTGGGTGTTTTTCTTTCTCTGCTCTACTTTTGTATAAATCCCTTAAGGTATCCATTTTCTCTTAGGCATTTCTCAACGAAACCTAATTGCAACTAGAAGGGTGAAGATTAGTAAGTTTATAATCTACAGTTACGATATATGAGAATAGTTGGAGAAAATATTGGAAGTTTAATGAACGACCATGGAGACACGTATCAAAATCAATTGTGTACTAAGTGAAGTGAAAAGAGTGAACAAAAGGCTAGTGGAGAAAACGATGTAAATAAATGTCTTACAAAAAATGCAAAAAATTGTATTAATAAAGAAATATTGATAACAGTTGAGCTTGGAATTATGTCCAAGTTAGAAGGATGGGATGGAGAAGTTTCTTCTGTGTTCATAAATCAGGATGCCTGGAGTCTCATCAATGCAAAGTATACCTTTTTCAGAGGGTTTTCTTTTGAATTACTAGATAAATTTGGGTGAATTTTTCCTAAGATATTAAGTTACCATTGTTAAATATGGGTTCAGTTATAGTATGGTGAGAGCTGTCTGCTAGCCAAATTGGTAGACAGTGTAATTTATGTCAGTGTTTACGTCCCCAATATTGTTCATGAGAAAAATAAGAACAAAGACTGATTCAACAACCAATCACAGCAGACTTTGTGTAGGCGGATACAATTTGCAGGTAGATAATCTGAACTTCAAGAAACGGCCACAAAGAGATGAAAGATTAACGTTCAGCTAGAAACCACCAGTCAGAAGACTGTGTTTGTTTGCTTACAATAATGTATGATAATG